CTACTGTGCTGCAACTAGAAAAATAAAGACATGCTCACATACTAACTGCTGAGACCTTTTTTTGCCCCTTCAATTCAGAGTGCTGTCATCCAGGCTTCTATTATTATTGAAAAGGTTTCCCAAGGAGCAGTCAGATTGCTCAGAAAAACCCCCCAGAAAATATGTAAAGATACTAAATCAGTGCTCCACGCCCCACACCCAATCACCCTTTGGTGAAGCCCCAGTAACAAGTTCTAGATTTGCATATAAAGTATCCAGTCAGCTCTTTAATAGCTCACTTGTCAGTATGGACAGATAGTCAAAGTCACCTAAACACTCTTAAGCTTCTAAATTAGAAGCCAAAAACAAACACAAAAAAAAATGAATCTTTAGGGAAACAAAAATATACAAAGAGAAAAAAATTATCATTAACATCGCCAGAGAAATAAAACAGTACATCTATAAAAGACAAGCATAATATGACTTTTAAAAAGTAGGCATTCAGAGATCAAAAATGAGCCATTAAAAATAATGCATAGAAAAAAAGAAATAAAATCCCCATAGACAGTTTAAAGATAAAATTAAGCTTATCCGCCATCTATAGAGCAAAAACAGAGATGAAAAACAATGTAGAAAAAAGTAAGAAAATTAAAGAACTAATACAGGAGAGCTAATATCCACACACCAAAATACAGGCACAAAAATCATTCAATGATTCAAGGAAATTTCCAAGAACTGAAGGACACTAATCCCAAGATTGAAGAGGCCCACTAAATTCCCAATACACTGGATTAAAATAGATTCACACCAAGATACATCCTTGTGCAATTTAGAGTATTGATCCTAAAAGAGTTCAGGATAGAAGAGATCAAAAGTGAGAATAGCATAAGATTCTGGGACCCTAGATGCCAGAGGAAAATTAAGTCTTCAGTATTCTGAGGGAAAATGAGTTCTAATCTAGAATTTTATATCCAGCCTGGTTATTATTTAAACATCAGAGGAGAATAAATATTTGCCATAAAATTTTCAAAACCTACATCTCCACCCACTATCGTTTCTTTAAAAGCTTTAAGAAGATTGATCCTGCCAAAACAAAGGAATAAATGAAGAAAGAAGGAGAACCAGGATTCAAGGAAACGGGTTCTCCACATAAAAAGACAAAGGAAATCCCTAACATGATGGAGACGCAGGTCCAAAAGCCCCAAGAATCATTTATTCAAGGTTAAATCGATAGGCTGCCCAATATACATGAGTCTAGTATAAAAAGATTTACATCTTTTTGTGGGAGAATTTAGAGATGATTTAGTGGAGTGTAGATAGAAAACTAAGCAAATAAAAAAACCTTAGTAAATAAAATGAGGCAATTATTAATTCCAGAGAAAATAAAAAGATATGCAGGAAAGGCAAAATGATTCTAATATACTACATTGTTCAACTACAACTGCAGTTCACATAGTCATAATAATATAAACATCGAATATAGGTTATTGGTGTTTACATAACTATTGGGAAGATAGAAATTACTTTGGGGGAGGGTAGTCATAAAAGGGTGTGTACATGTAAGTGAAAGAAAACTAAAACCCCAGCTTCCATAAAAATGTAGATGAAAAATCTAGATGTAGCAATATAAGCAGTATCATTTAGAAATATGAAAAGCAATCACCAAAGAAATGGCTGAAAGAATTTAAAGTGATTACTTCTGGAAAGTAGAAATGGGGGAGGGGTGTTATGGGTTTGTTTGTTTTGCAGCAATTCTCATACAGATATTTTTCTGCACTAAACTGTGTGTGTATATAAAACTTGTATTTTCAAAAACTAAATTAAAACACACCTTGTTACAACAAAGACCAGCATCCTAATATCCTAATATTTAAGAGTGCTATACATCCATGCATAGTTCCTGTCTATTGGAATTTCAACTTGATTTTTGTTAACCAAGGTCACGTGAGATTCCCCCTGTCATGACAGAGTTCCTCCCATCTATGTAACAAATCCATTTTTGTTTATGAAGTAGCAAGGTTAACATTACTGATGCCAAAACTGATTAATTCGGACTCACTGAGCAGCACCTGTATTCTGAGAATGTGTGTCTAGTACTAGAACACCATAGCTTTTCAGACACAAAACAAATACACGCAGCTACTTTTCACTAACTGTGGATAGTTTGATAAAACTGAATATTATACCTACGAGCTCCTTATTAGTAATCACATGAACACTATTATAGATAGGCATTACAATCAACAAACCACTTCGAGATTTCCCTAAATTTCAGACACCTTGCATCACCATTTTTCGCTCGGATTTCTGTCTCAACAGTAGTGAATGCTATAACCAACGAGGCACCAAAATGATTCAGTGTATCCATTCAACAAACATTTCTGAGAGAAGTCTCCTATTCAATTTGTAAGTCTCCAAAATTTTTCATAGATAATAAAGGCACCCATCTATTGAAAACTGATCAAATTAAAAAGAAATACACATAATCATCAAGGCATTGATGTATGCAGAAATCTTAAGAAAAGTTTTGTCATACTCATTTAAAAGAAGCCCATCTGAGAATCCAAAATTTTCAAGAGTGAGCCACTGTGGGCCTCTAATCTAAAATGTGTTCTTTCTCCCGCTTTCAAGAACACCATATGGCAAATTATGTTCTCAGGAAAAGAAACAAACTTACCTTTCACAAGCTCGGACAGTCCATGCGGCAATTATCCATAATGAGATACTAAAAACCAAGAGTACAGTTCCTGGGCATATAGTCATTAAAGTCTTCATAACAAAACGCGTATTGAAGTTTATCTTATTAAGTGCTCCAATGCTTCTAGAGGAGGCATCAGTGAAAAGTTTGCTATGTAAAAGCATGACTCTGGCAATCAGATAGAGTCTTAAGAACATTGGTATAGATAAAATAATATCCACATCAGCGGTGGTTGTGGATGGGGCATAGGAGAAGGCAAGCCGGGCCGTCCATGTGAACGTATAATTCCCAGGTATGGGATGAATAGCACACACCAGTATTTCCAAGCAGATGAAGAAAATACGCTCATAAGTCATGGCTATTCTCCAGTCATCTGCTCCATTGTCCACCATGAACAACTGAAAAAATAAAGTAGAAAATCAGCTTCAGTATGGCATGAATGGTCCACAAGTGTTAGTGCAGATTTTAAAAATACATAACAGATGACTTCTAGCAATCATGGCAAGCTAGAGGGTATGATTTTAAATGCTAGCCAGGTACACTATTTTTAGAAAGTGGTATTGGCACGAAAGGAGAGTTTCATTTTGTAAAAATTAAAAACGTGCTACCCAGGAGCTGAAAGTATTTTGGGGTCCATGCTCCTGGCCAATCATGAAAGGAACATCATTTTAAAATAAGGGGGCTTGGGCCTATCACAGTAAAGCACCCTCCCTTAGATGAAGTCAGATGAACTTGCCTTATGACAAACTGTTTTCCCTTTAAGGGTTTGGATCTAAATCCTTACACAATTCTAACTACATTTTCAGTGAAATCTATTTATGGTGCCTCTGCAATCAGTTATACCCTATAATGCAACTACACATGAGCATTCTTACAGGAAATCTTATTCTTGGCTTCAGAGAGAAAATCACAAGAGACTACAGTCAATGTGGCAGAAGCCTTTCTTCCAGTATCCTCACCCTGCTATATGTCCTATCTCTTGTCTTCTGCTCCCCCCTAGCCTTCCCTGGGATAATTTGTTTTCCATCTTTCTTTCTTTCATAAATATTCCTCTTTCCTATTTCTGTCATTCCTCACACCACAATGAAAGAAAATAAAAAGAAAAGAAAGAAAAAGGAGACAGATAGATGGATGGATAGATTAGATATACAGACAGATGGGGGGAGAGAGAGAGAGAGAGAGAGAGAGAATAGACAGATGGGGGGAGAGAGAGAGAGAGAGAGAGAGGTTTCCTGGCTTCCCTGTCTTTTCAGTAAACAAGTTCACCATGCTCTAGGAGTCCATGAACAACCAGAAGCATTTGCAAATGTGTGGTGACATTTCTGACGGCCACAATGACTTTGTGGGGGCTACTGGTATTTAGCATCAGGAAGCCAAGGGTGCCAACCATGCTGCAAAATTCTGGGAGTCCCACGCACCAGAAAGACCTGTTTGGCCAGAATGCCAATAGCGCTCCCCCACTAAGAAAGATGACATATTTTTTGCCTTCTGGTAAGTAGCCAGCTTAAATAGAAAGCATGAGATGAAAGCAACCCAAATAAGAACCGAGCGTTCTCAGGGAATTAAATCATAGAAGTTGGCAGAGCAGTTTTTCACTGGGGCTGGATTCTATGTTCTGCTCCTCTAGAGTCAGGAAAGTACCCCCCTCCCCTATTTTAGATGATTACGAATTCCCATTCTAGGTGAATTTTTCTGCAGCAGGTAGTTATTTCTACTGCTGTCATTAAACACTGCCATCAGTGTTACTCTGTAAGGGCAGACATCTGAGGACAAAATTACTACTCTTTTCTAGTGTCTCAAGAAGATGAAAACTAGCAAAATCTCTCAGAAACATATCCAAGTTTTAACAAATTAAGTTATGACAACATAATGGCTATAGGTATGCCTTTATCATAACTTTTCATCCAGGGAACCTTGAAGTGTTTGACAGATGCTAATAGATAACAAAAATTATATTTTTCCAGTGTCCAGTAAAGAAATAGACCATAAATAAAGCATCCCAAGCTGGCTATAGAAATATTCCTTTTCAGTATCACTACTTTGAATATCATATCGGCATAAAGGATTTCAATAATTTATACAAAATATTGTATAGATGTAATGGCAGGAGTCTTCTATACTTCCTACCAGTGAGTAATTTACTGAGTACTGTGTAAGTCTGAAGACATGTGATCCCCAAATCTCTTAAGATGTTTATATCCGAAATGTGTCCCTCAAACTAGTTCCTTTGAGAGGCTATATGTACACGTTCCAAAAATGTGGTACCCGTTCTCTTCGGAAATTGCTCATAGGTCCTGTTGCAAATCACAGAAAGAAACCAGTATTGTTATTTAAATCTATATTTCCATTTCTACTGAAAATGGTATTACCCAGTTTTATTGTCTACTTTCTTCACTGAACTTAGCTCTGAACGACTTGGCAAAAATCAAATCCACCCCCAAAGGGGCTAAGAATCACCAACACTCCAGATAATCAAAAGCTGTGCCGCAGATTCTGAGCTCAATTCCAAGATGGGTTCTCAATACCATTTTGGGCAACAGCAGCATAAATGCAGAATAAGTACTTTTCCAGGTAACTTAGAAAGAAACTCCAATTTAGACGTACAATTACGGGACTGGCCTTCATTCACGGTGCACTGGCTCCTCTGACCTCACTCTACTCTCTCTTTTCAGGGCCCCTTTTATCTGCTCAGTTCCCTGACTAGGCTGGTTCTTCATTCATTCCCATCACTTCAACTATTATCTCCCTGGCATTCTCAGCACCCCTACCCCCTAAACCTTCTGGTGGGCCTGCCCACGTAACCTCCAAACTGGGACCTGATGTCCACGCTGCTTTGAGTGGACTGGGGCCACCACATGCCCATGCCTTCAAGCTCAGCGGAACCCTCCTCATCATCTGTGATCTTTTCCTCGTCTCCATAGCATCTGCTCCAAACAATCAGCTCTCTTCCCAAGGGCTATCTTTGTTCCTTGTTCTCTCAGCACACTGTCTCCCCAATATCAGAAATATCCTCTATTTTATACTTCAGCTACAAACTTACCTACATCTCACCTTTCTCTCCATATTTCCCTTTTCTCTTGCTCTACCTGTCTAAAACAATTTTACACCAAAATCTAATTCTCCTGTGGTGAGAGACTATTTTCTTTTTTTTCAACTACAGTTGATATTCAGTATTAATCGGTAGTAGTTTCAGATGTACAATATTGTGGTTAGACAGGCTTGTACTTCACAGAGTGGTCCCCGATATTTTAAGTACCCACCTGGCCCCATACATATTACAATATTATTGACTATGTTCCCTATGTTGTACTTTACATCCCCTCCTAGGCTATTCTGTAACTATTAATTTGTACTTCTTAATCCCTTCACCTTTTTCACACAGCCCCACAATGCCCCTCCCCTCTGGCAACCACCAGTCTGTTCTCTGTATCTATGAGCTGTTTCTATTTTGTTTGTTTAGTTTCTGTCTTCTCTCTCTCTTTCAGCAGACTACGAGCAAGTTCAATATCTCTACTATTCATTGGATACAGAGGATCTCAAACAAAGAAGAACCTCCATTGGCTCTATGTCTGATGTAGGTGGTACTGATTTTCTGAATTATTTTTTAAAAAAAGATTTTAAATTGATTTTGAGAGAGAGAGAGAGAAGGGAGAGAGAGAGAGAAGGGAGAGAGAGAGAGAGAGAGAGAGAGAGAGAGAGAGAGAGAGAGAGAGAAACATAGATGTGATTGCAAAACATCATAGATTGTCTGCTTCATGCATAATATTATAGTAATATGTATGGGGCCAGGTGGGTACTGAAGATGGAGCCCACAACCTGGGCCTGAACCCTGATCAGGAATCAAAGGCAACCCTTCAGTGCATGGGACAATGCCCAACCAACCAAGGCACACCTGTCAGGGCCTGAATTCTCTTTTATCCCCCAAGACCCTGAAGTGGCTTTTGCCCCATCACTCTACCAAGACTACTCTTATAGAGGTTGTTAAAGACACCTTAATTACAAAGTCACTCCTTCCAGCTTTATTTTTATCTAACTTGATCTTACTCCTTCCTTCCTAAAAAAGATATTTTCTCTTAGCTTGTGTGACATATTACTTTTTCCATCTGCTGCCACTCTGAAGGCTCCATCTCAGTTTCCCTGAAAACCACCTTCCTCCTCCCCAACTAAGTGCCCCTGCTCTACTGAGATCCATCTCTGACTCCTCTCTGTACTTTCCTGAGTGATCTCTTCGTGCCTTCTATTCCTACTATCACATTCCTCCTCCTGGAAGCTACCCTCCATCCTCTAATAACCTTTTTGAAATGTGGAATTATATAATTCCATTGCTGTCAAGATTAAAACCATTCAAAGGCTCCTATTCCACAATGCAGTTGGGTTATCTCTTTAACCTCATTGCCTCTGGTTGCATTTCCCTCTGGTTGCAGATTCTGGAACACACCACCCTAACCATGTTTCTAAGTCTTTGTACATACAGTCCTATGGACTGGAACATCTTTCTACCTCAAAAATGCTTATTCCTTTCAAACAAAACTTCAAAGTCAGCTCCTTTAGGATACTGTCCAGGCCACAGCCAAATCTAAAAATCCCCTCCTTTGTTCTACCAAGATCCCTGTATATGTCTCTTATAGATGCTGTCACAGAGGACAATAAGGTTTTCTTTGTAAGTATGTTACTCCTACTTGACTGTGAGGCTCCTTGAAGACAGGAGTTATGTCCACTTAGTAGAGGCAAATGTTTATTAAAGGAACTGCCTTGCTATTTCTCATTTAATATTGAGTATCCTGATCACTGGATAGGTCCTAATGTGAATTAAATATGCTCACAGAAGGCCCTGGCCAGGTAGCTCAGTTGGTCTTCCCGATAAAACAAGGTTTCAATTTGATCCTTTGTCAGGGCACATCCAAGAATCAACCAATGAATGCATAATAAGTGGAACAACAAATTGATGTTTCTCTCTTTTTCTTTCTTTCTCATCAATCAACCAACCAATTAATTAATCAATAAATAAAAATGCTCATGGAAGAAAAAATCCTAAAGCATAACACAAGTGAAATAAATATATGACATTTTTCAAATTTGTAGAGGATACATCTTACTAAATACTAAGTCACTGCAGCAGCATAATTTTGCAATTCCATAGGAAGTCCAGATAGCATTCTTCTTTAATATCTTCCCCCCCCCCCAAAAAAATTTACTATTACACAGTGGCTTAATACTATCAGGGATTTAATCAACACCTGAAATAATTTCACTTTTGGTTTTATTTTACCACAGTATATACATATTTCAATGCTAAAGTTAAGAAATATTTTCTTCTACTTTCCACATAATCCCCATTCTTAATTGCTGCTTATGCCTTTGTTTATTCATTTATTTACTAAATATCCAGTATACTGCA